ATCGGGGGCTGGGGATTTAACTCAGGGGCATAAGTGCCTGCCTTGCAAGCAGGCAGTCGTGAGTTCGATTCCCGATACCAATTTAAAAAAAAGATACGGTATTTTCATATAATGGAAAGTTATTCAGTTATAAAGAAGGATAATCTTGAGGCTCTGATAGATAAATGGATAGAACTTGAGACTATGCTCATGGGTGGAATGGTTTGACCTCATATGGGTGAACATGTTATCTCCTAGTGTAGAAAACTAAAGAAGTTTGTGGGATCCAAAATGTACAGTAGATATTATGAAAGTGATAGAGGAAGAAACATCTGAAAAGGGAAGGTGATGACCATTGTTAATTTCGTATTATCTTGTTTTGAATTCCTGTATTGTTTTCATAATTTTGTTAGGTTTAGTTTTACTCTGTTTTGTTCTGTTGATTTTACTGTGTCTGATAGTATGGGCAGCTATTTTGAAGATAATGGAATGTACTATGGTACCCATTGTTGATTTCCTATCATTTTGTTTTGAAGCCCTATATTGCTTTCATTGTTCTGTTCTAATTAGTTTTATTGGTTTGGTTTGGTTTGGTTTTATTCTCTTTAAAATAAAAAAAAATGTAAAAAGTGAAAAAACAAAAAAGAAAGAAAGAAAGGAAAAAAAGCCAATGAGGTGGCAAACAGGTATAATCTCAGCACTCAGGAGGCTGAGGCAAAAAGATCCACACAATTTTAAGGCCACTCCGGGCTACACAGTGAGTTCAAGGCCAGCCTGAATTACTGAAAGAGACCCTGTCTCAAAAATAAAATAAAATAGAATAAAACATAGTAAAATAAAATAAAGAAAGAAAAAAGCAAAGCAAAGGCAGGAATGGTGCTCTCATGTATAAACCCAGTATGCTGGGAGGCTGAGACAAGAGGATCACAAATCCCAGCCCATCCTGGGCAATTTAGCAACTTGACAAGACCCTGTCTCTAAATTTTAAAAATTAAACTAAATTTAAAAAGGCTGGGATCTTAACACTGTGAAAATTCTAGGTCCCTCCCTTCCATATCTGTCTCTGTCTCTGTCTCTGTCTCTGTCTCTGTCTCTATCTCTCTCCCTCTCTCTCTCACTCACACACACATACACACACGTGCATAGTATTTCAAACACAAGGTTACTAATCAAGGAGTATTGTTGTCCAGTGGGCAGGGGAAAATGTGGAAGAGGAAGAAAATTTTCAGAGAAGAAAAAGGAGTGTTATGACAGGTGAGGAGACTCTTGAGAGGACTACTCCCTCACGGCTTTTGCTTCTCTCAGTAATATATGCACAGGTTAGGAGGAGCTAGCAACAGTGAGGAGAAAGGCTCCAGATAGAGAGCTTAGAAGAATGGCCCAGGATGGGGCTGGAGCAGTAAGGAGAACCCATTCTTTTTTTTTTTTTTTAAGATATTTATAGTTCTTTTTATTTTAAGCCTTTATTTTTTATTTATATTTATTGATTTATCGGTGCCAGGGATCAAACCCATGACCACATGCTTGCAAGGCAGGCGCTTGTGCCACTGAGCTAAATCCCCAGCCCCTGGAGAACCCATTCTCGAGGACCCTGGATGTGCCAGGGCCTTAATTCAATGGGCTAAGACTTCGCCATACCACTCAGCAGCCTGCTATGCAACAGTCTGAGGTTGTGGTGAGTGGTAAGTTTGAGGATGTGGTAAGACCCAGAAGGCCAGATGTGGTGGGCAGACCTGTAATTCCAGTACTTTAGAAGCTGAGACACACTATGGCACATGTGTTATTAGTTTTTTCTTTTAAAACAAAAGGTATCAATGTATGGGTTGCTTTTTCTAAACTAAAACCTCAGTATTCATAGTTAATTGAAATTTGGCATCTTGTGATAAATTAATGGGTTTTGGGTTGCAGTTTCAGCACTCACCTCTAAAAGGTTCACCGTCACTGCTACAAGCCTTTCCCCTTCGTTCTAAGCAAGTGCTGTGTACTGCCAGGCATGATGCCACATCCCTGTAATCCCAGAACTCTGGGAGGCCTGGGATCACAAGTTTGAGTCCAACCTCGGAAATTTAGTAACTTAGCAAGACCCCATCTCAAAAAAAAAAAAAAAAAAAAAAAAAAATGACTGGAGATGTAGCTCAAGGAGAAGATCCTGGGTTCAATATCCAGTCCTGTTAAAAAAGTAAATAAATACAAGAACAGGTGCAGTATATGAACAATCTCCTCTCCATGCGAAAGGGCATCCAATAACCTGCAATGATTTAGGGAAATTTTCTAAAAACCTAAAGAGTAAAAATTGCCTAATCTTCTCTTCAGGTTTCCAAATTTATTTAAATCTTTTTATTTTACTTTTTTAACCTTATAGCTCATTTTGCAAATGGTTTTACAGAAAGAAATTTGTCTTTACAAATTCCAAATCCTACCTCCTTGAAGGCATCACCCTTTAAAAAGTTAGAAGAATGCTTGTACTCATTGTTGCATTCGATTTGTCCACTTTCTCTGAGAAAAAGTGGTAAATGGATTCACTGTATTTTCCTGGCATAGAAATTCCTCATCTCCAACAGTGTTTCATTTACTTCTCGAGACCAAGATCTCTGCCATGGTTTTGAAAGCGTCCCTCAGAGTCTTATGTGTTAAAAGCTTGTCCTCAGCCTGTGATGCTCCTGGGTGGTGGCAGAATCCTTAGGAGGAGGGCCAGCGGGAGGAGGTAAGGTCATTCAAGCAAGTCCCCGAAGGGGATGTTAGGACACAGGTGTCTCCTTCTCTGCTTCCTGGTTTCTCGACCCTATGTCCCCACGATTATGAACTACACCACCAACCCCAGACTCAAAGAACCCAGGCCAGACCGGAACCCTGAAAACATGAGCCAAAAAGAATTCTTCTAAATTGATTTGTCTCAATGATTTGTCACAGCAATAAAAATATAACACAGTCCCTCAGGGCCGTGAGAGATGAGCTTAATCCCTTCTACTAGCCCACATCACTGGGGAGACAGTGGGACACCGAGAAGCACCCCCCGTGGTCTTCGGATTCTGCTCTTTCTCAGTAAAGAGGCTTTGTTTTCAACAGAACAGGAGATCATTCTAAATGTCATCACTCCACACCCCATCTGGGCTCCCAAAAGCAAGCTGTTGGGCTTCTGAGTCAGATGTTGTCACCCACTGAAAAGCCTTCTGCCCAACTTGGCTGGCAGTGGGGTCCCAGCTCAGCAGGACAAATTCACCCATCTCCCCCATGCCCCCCTTTTGTCCCCAAGGTTATGGCCGTCATTCTTTATGAGGAAGAGCAGCAATTAGAGACATTTCATCACGGCGTCTTGAATATTTTCCTCCCATGAAGGGTCTCCTGAAACCTTGCCGTTTTCAGGGGATTCCTAGAAGGGACAGAAGGAAGTGTGTATAGCAGCAATATATGCCATCTACAGGCCAAGACAAACGTTATCATGGCTACCACCCAGATCTTCAAATGGCAACTCATGACAGACAGGAGGAGAGCTTGCCCTGAGCCAATGCTGAGGCAAAGATGCTTGAGGGCTTGTAGGGAAGGGGTCTGTAGAGAAAAAAATAGAATAGAGGCCTCTTTAGGTTTTTAGTTAATCCTGACTAGAGGGAGTTTAAAAACAAACAAACTTTACTAGAGAGATTCCCCTGGGAAGCAAGTCAAAGATAGGAGTAGAAAAAGGGAGAAAAACCAGGTAAATAAAGGCACCAAATGACCTTGGGACTTTCACCAAGAGACCAGAAAAAAGAGCTGAGCAGCCGGACACAGAGAAAAAACTGAGTCCACAAAGATAAGTTGCCCCCATCTCCAGTAAAATAAAGGGAAAGCAAAGGTGGGGCTGATTAAGATAGTGTGTGCCCACCTGCTATGCACTAACGCATCCACGTGTATATGTGTGTGTTCACTCCAGAGTTACTATAGTATTCACTCTCAGATCACTATGGAGTACAACAGACATCCACATGCCCCCTTACTAACTCAAAAGCTAACCAAGAATAAGACACCCCTTTGCCAACTAGCCACTCACCCCAAAAATAAGGCCTTAAAAGGTATGGAAAGGAAAAATGAGCAGACAGTGAGAAGCTGCACATAGACTTCCAGTCATCTCTCAGGCAGGGGTGCCCAGAGCCAACTCACTTATGGAAAGTTCTGGGTGGAAGCGGAAGGGTCACTCATCCCCAGATAAAAACAGCTGGAAACAAAGGACCCAGAGGTCCTCCATCTTTCCTGAGTCCACTACCCTGAGTCTTTCTCTACCATCTTCCTTCCTCTCCCTGCCATTTTCACTTTAGAAGCAAAGCATCTTCCTTTCTTTAAATGTTGTCCCCTTGTTTCTCACTGGGGCTGAATTTATGATCCCAGTGTGCTGCTTGGACAGCAGAGCTGCGGTGTTCAACCCCCACATGTAACCTCTTTGGTTCCCTAACCAGCAGTCAAAGGTGACAGGGTCATGCAACGATCTATGTGAGGACAAACTTCCAGGTCCCTCCAGGACGTGTCTGCACTCCTGTGAGTCACACAGAGCCTCCTTCCAAGAAGGAGTCACTGCAGGCAAAGGAGAGACCTAAATGGAGCTCCAGGGGAGGATTTGTGATTATAAATAAGCCACCACTTGGGGAAGAGAAGGTCTTCAAAAGTCCAATTGCCACGGAAACTACTGAATTAAAGTGGTATTTGTGGAAAAGTATATGCAATCAAAGGAATTCAAAATATAGACTTTCTTTCCATCTACTGTATTGAGGTAAGGGAAGTCATGGGGCCAAAAGCTCATCTTCACAACTTGAAATGATTCTTGAACCCATGGCTGGCTGGATGATAATATCTGCCAATGTTTTCAACAGTGGTGTTCTGCCACGGAAAGCGTTCAAGCTACAAGTAAAAACAAACAAACAAACAAAAGAAGACCTTCATAAATCTACTCTCAACATTTAAAAATATAGGACAATATTTGTACTGTGTAAATACCTACATAACTTTGTGTCTGCTTTATAAAACAGAAATAAACATTTTGTCTTCCACTTAAATGAGAGATCAGAGATGGAGGTTTATTGAACATTGATAATGTGCCATGTGCTTTACTTTCTTTTCTTCCTGTTTCTGCTGTCACCTTCTAAATGAGGAAATAAGGCTCTGAGAACTTAAACCCCTTGCTTGTGGTCATACAGACAGCAAGTGACAGAGTCTAATGTTCTGCTTCCTCGTCCCACATTGCATTCCTCTCCAAATTCCAATAAACACTTTGCTATCCTTCCTGGTTATATCTATAAGAGAAGATATACAGTTCTTTCTGCAAGAGTAGATATTTGGTTCATGCTAAAACACTTCCAGAAGAACAGAGAAGAGCTCTTGATAAGTACAGTTCTTGGTAAGTACAGAAATAACAGAGATCTGACTCTTATTTAGGCATTTCCAGAAGATACAGGACAAGAATACAATCTCATCAGTAATTCATATCTCATGCATATGGAATGGTTGCCCTTCTGAATCACATTTAAGGAAATTTTTAAATACTTAAATTGCATTCCAAGTACAAACTAGAAGTCACCTGTGTCCCACCACTTTTGCCCACAATTTGCTTCTGCAGTCCTCAGACAACCGTCTCCACGGAGACCGTATTGCCACTGTCTTCCTGGCGCCTGGACTGCATCTCATCTTTGAAAGCCCTGGTCAGGACTACTTTTAAGGATTCCTTGAATCGCTTTTTCTTGCTGCTGCCCACAAAGAAGTAAATGAAAGGGTTGGCACTGCTGTTAATTGTGGAGAAGAGCAGAGAGATATTGTGCAGGGTTCCGAATGTGGACCAGTACTCATAGTACAGCAGGTAGAGGAGCCTCATGGGCATGGCGAAGATGAGGAAGATGATGATGGTGACTGTGATGACAATGTACAGCTTTGAGGAATGGGCAGTCCATGTGTTCTTTCGGATCTTCACCACCAAGATAGTGCTGGACACCAGCATGAGTGGGGTAAAGACCAGGAAGCTGAGGACAGCTATAAAGAGGATGACTGCCCGGCAGTCACTTCGGGAGTGGCTGTCCTCTTCACTGTCAATGCACATGATGTACTCCATGGTGGTCACCAGGCAGGAAAGAGCCCACAGGAGGGCACAGACCAATGCTGACTGGTGCTTGGGGCGGTGGCATCGGTACCAGATGGGGTAGAGGACAGACAGGCACCTCTCCACACTAATGGCGGTCAGCAGGTAGAGACCTGTATTGTAGCCAAACAGAAAAGTCACTGATAGTGTGACAATTGTGTAGTAATGGCCAGAAGAGAGTTCATAATCTAACGCATAGTCGATAGACAGAATAAAAATACAGAAGAGTAGTGAGATGTCGGCAATAGACAAGTGGGTGATGTAGACAGTGAAGGGATTTCTTCTCATCCGGAAGCAGAGGAACCAAAGGAGAATCCCATTTTCCACAAAGCCCAGTGGGGAAATGCTCATGATGACCCAGTGCACAACCGGGATGTGTGGCGCTGCGCTCCCGAATGAGGAGTTCGAGGCATTCAGGGACTCCCAGTCCACAAACGCTGTCACATTTGACTCATCCATTCGGACATTCGGAGATGTCAGGCTGGCACTTTTCAGGTGGTTTTCTGTAAATAGCCAAACCAACAAGCAAAACCATGAAAATTGGTGAATTCAAATAAGAGAGAAATTTTCAGCTTTGGATCATAACCTTGAGGTTATTTTTTACGGGTTTAATAGATCATACAATTCTTTTTCTACTGGAAGTAAAATTAGACATTTCATCAAGAATAGGACAGATTTTGTTACACCTTTTTTAGATCCTCAGGAGCCTTTCATTCTGGATTATTATTATTTGTTTGTGGCTCAGCTCCAGAAAATGATGCAGCAAAATAGGACGACCAGGATTCCTGGTATTCATTTCCAATTCTTCCCAAGCTTTCCCAGTCCCATTTTAAAATCCCTTTTATCTTCTGGACCCTGATCTCCTTACCTGATGGGCCAGGTAGGAAGATGGTTGTATTAAAATTCAATGACAAGATACAGGATGGGGCAAAGTCATTGTCATTTTGAAAAAAATGTTACATGTTGTGGGAAATGAGAGGCATGCCTAGACAAATATTTTGCTGAGCTGGCCTTGAACTCTTGGACTCAAGTAGCCTTCCTGTTTCAGCCTCCCAACCAACTAGAACTGCTGTTGTATTTCAGCTCATTTGATTTGTGGCAATATTTTAAAAATGCAAACAGTGAAAAGGCAATTCTTTTATGTGATCTATGTATCCTCAATAGTGCAGGGCACCTACTCAGACTTGGTGTACTATGTGAATCAACACAGTGTGTCCAAATGTGAGCCTTGACAGCATGTAATTATGCCCCACATCCTGCAGGCTGGAGCATGCAGGAAAACAACTGACAGGCACTTACAGTGCAAACCCCAAACCAGTCAAAATGCTGCAGGTTTGAGGGTGCAAACAAAAGTCATCAGAAACGTTTTCTCCAATTGCAGCTGATACACAGGCACCCTTCAGTTGCCTACTCTAAAGAAACAAATATACATCATAACCCACATTGCATCACTGAAGAAAAGGAAAGCAAAGAGTTGGCAGAGACCCTTTTTTTTGTTCCAACTCTAACTTTTTGCCCTTGGATTTTTTTTTTAATACATGTTTGCAGTACATAAGGATCACATTAATTGTGGGGAATTGGTGCATATTAGCTTTTTATCCCTTCTTTTCCTTTTTTAGCCTTTAATTCTTTGCAGACCAGATCTTCTATATGTATAAACTAATTATTTAATAGATTTAATATTAAATTTAATTTAATATCAAAATAATTTAATAGATTTAAATATTTATATTTGTAAAATATAGATCTATTACATTTACATATACAAGTAGATTATTTGTTTACTTACATTACTTATCTGTATTATATGTACAAAAGTATTTCTGCCTTTTCCTCAAAAGCTCACCTAAGGCAGAATACCACATCAATTGCTATTTTGCTGCACCTGAGTGACTCTGGTGACATTAGACATCTCCAGCATTGAGTCAGCAGGACCCCAAGAACACAGGGTTCTGTTCTCAGCACAGTCATTCCTGGGTCCTGGACCAGAAATGGAAGTACTGGTTGTTGAAAACCAGGGCGATTATCTCCCCACTGCATGACCCAGGTGACAGGAGAGAGTTGCTTCCACTGTCCCAATCCAGTGCCTCTCCACTAGAGCATCCCTCCACTGTTCAAACAGGACACAGGAAGCTGCTTTCCACATGACAGGGTCTCCTTTCATTCATTAGAGTATCCCCAGGAACCCAGCTCAAGGACCAAGATGCACAGTGCCGTATGAGAGTCTGCTACAGAAACCAAGAGTGGGCAGAAGTTTCTTCTTCAAGCAGCCACGATTTCCACATTCACCCAACATTTATTTAGCACTAGGTGCTGTTCTGGGCACCAGAACAGCTTCTTGGGAGTTTAAATTCCAGTGGGGAAGCAACCAATATCCAAAGAACAATAGTAGAAACCAATAAATCCATGCAGATCACAATAAGTGCTATAAAGAAAGACAGAGGATGGCAAGACCTGGGGTATCTACTTTACAAGGTATGATGGGAATGATCACATTGATAAGATCACACTTGGGCAAAGGCATAAAATAAGGACGTGACAGCACTCCAGGCCAAGCAAACTGGAAGTTTAAACAGCAAGGAGCAGAATCAAGCAGGCATTGCAGGCAGGTAGCTGGGGTTATATCCTTGACGGCTTGTGGGTCATTCTAAGGATTTTGCCCTTAGAATGAGGGCAATGAGAAGAGAAGCCACCAGGAAGTTCTGAGAAGAAGCCTCACCATAGCTGTCCTATTCAGAGAGGCCACAGTAGCTAGGGGAAGGGCAGGGGCTTCTTCATTATTCCAGCCAAAGAGATGACAGTGACACGGACCTGGGTGTGGCAGGTGGCAGTAAGACCAGGCTGGGACCTAGATACAATGGGATCTGCTAAGGGGTGAGGTGTGCATTCAGGTCAAAGGAAAGAGAGAAATGCTTAGGCATTTGCTGAATGGAACAGGTCAGAGGAGTCAGGGTGAGGCATTTGGATTTCGAGAGCTGTGAGTTGGCCAGGGGGAGTTGTGCAGTGTCAGGAGCTGGGAGAAAAGATGGAGGCTCTGGGTGTTGTGTACAAACAGGTGAAAATTATAAGACCAGGGGCTGGAGATTTAGCTCAGTGGCATAAACACCTGCCTTGCAAGCACGTAGTCATGAGTTCGATCCCCAGTACGGATAAAAAAAAATTATAAGACCATATAAATTACCAAGAAATAAGGATAGTTAAAAAGGGTTGAAGCCTTGGAGCATTTCAAAGCCTAGAGGTTGGAGAGATGAGAAGCCACAGAAACAGAAAAATGTGTGACTGAGTTGGGAAGAAGGCAGGAAAAAAATCAACTTAAAGTTTCTGTCATTCTACTGAAAGTTCAAGTGAGACAAAAAGCAGGCCTTGAGTGTGGCTACTGGGTCATTGTTGACCTCAAACCCAGTCTCCCTGCTTGTGGACTGAGGGAAACCTGATAAACTGATAGGAATCAGCAACAGAAAGCAAATAATCAGAGAAGCACGGAATCAGGGGTTGAGGCCCTTGGCTAGGAGCAACATTAATCCCTGTGACTAGCCGGGACTGCAGTGTCAGAAACGGCTCTCCTGAGAAAGATTTGTGCTGGGCAACTGAATGCAGCTGTCCTGGGCTCTGGGTGAATGATTTGGGGATGACAGTGTGCAATGTATGTACCACTGTTGCCTCTTGATTTGACGTTTTGAAATTTTGTTGTAGTTTTTTCTGTTTCTTTTTTTTTTTTTTTTTTGTCCTTGAAATAAAATAGATTTGGAAGAAATTTTTTAAAAAATTTTTAAATGACTCTTCTAAATACACAGTGTCTCTTTTTTTCAGCAAAGAGTAAGGCAACCAGCTAAAGAGGAGGCAGGGCTGAGTTTAAGGAGCGGGAATGGCACAATCAGGAAACAGAAAGCAGCGGGAAATATGCAGGGAATGCGATTGCCTGGCAAACATAGGTGCCCACCCAGGCCAGTGCTCAGGAGGCAACTCAGCCTGCGTGTGCTCTGGTCAGGCTGTGACTCAGCCTCCCCGACATCAGGTGCAGGAGACGGTGGACAGTGAGAAATAGCCAGGGTTGCAGTTTTCCCAGGCCCCTGAAATCCAAGGCAGGGCCCCAGAAATGAAAGCGCATGGAAGGCAACGGCTATAGTGGTGCTCCGGGGATCCTGAGTGCTAGCGATCAGTGAGCGCAAGAAAGAGGTGAACAGGAGCCCTGGTGCTGTCAGAGCCTTGCTGAAGTTCATGTGCTACATACAGGTGGTGACAGGGAAACAGGAGGCCAGGTTCTTGAGATTGAGGCTTGGGGATGGAGCTCTAGGATTATTGTATGGTTTAGTGTAGAGATAACTGTGCATGTGAATGGCTCGGGGTGGTGGGAGACAGGTCACAGGAGGTGAGATCAGACCCGGAACCAGGGCACCGAAGAGTTATCCATGGGGACTCTGAAGTCACCGAGAAATAGTGTTGGAGGACAGCAGTGTCACTAGAAAACATGGCTGTGAGCTGAGTGCTAACAGTGTGAAGGACTCTGGGGCCACATCGCAGGAACCTGTGGGCATGGGCTTCAGCTTTGGGTGCTCTGGTGCAGCTGGAGTCTGGTGCCCAGAGGCACTGGGCCGAGGAAGGAGGGCCAGGTCAGCGCCATCTGCTAGACACAGAAACACGTGTGTAATCAAAGTCTTTCTAGTAGCTATGCTAAGAAAGTAAAACATGAGATTAATTTTCATAATCTATTTTACTTTACCTAATGAGTCCAAAAATATCCTTTCAGCATACAATCAACATGAAAAACACTGACAAAATCCTCTGTGCCCTTTTTCACACATTGCCAGTTGTGTTTTATTTATTTAATTACTTTAAAACTTTTTTTTGGGCCGCGCTGGGAATCAAAGCCAGGATCCTGCACATGCTAGGCAAATGCCGAATTTCTGAGCCACATTCTCAGCTCTTCAGTGTGTGTTTTAGAGCAACTCGCTCCAGACAGACCACTTTCCGTGTACCTTGTAGCTACTGTGATAGACAACACAGGTTTGATCCATCACAAAACTGAAATCACATACACAGGAAGACACACCTCACAAGATGCTTACATCTTTTATTAGTAAATGTAAACCAAGACTAGAGATGTAAAACCAAGACTCCGTTACATTTCCAAAGAAAACTGACAAAAATGTCTTACAGTCTCAGACAGATCACACCTTCACCTCTTTCTAGACCACAAGAGCATCCAGCTCTGGGCTTCTCTTTGCACGTGAGGGGGCTCTTTCCTTTCTGCACCCCTTCCCATACCCACTCCCACATTCTAGACCCACAGCCTACTGTTTGCTATCTGCCAGCTCAGGCTCTGAAGCTGCCTGACCTGCACTTTCCTTAACAGTACCTCAATCACAAACAATTATTTCCCTGATTCTGGTTGCAAACCGAATTGGTTTTGAACCACACCAAATTCAATGGTTAGGTTTAGTGCTGATCTTTGTTGACCTTAAGGAGAAATTTGATTCGGTTCATAACCAATTAGGCTTGAGAT